TAAAGAAGATGTGGGGTTTTTTACAAAATGGAGTACTACTCAGCCATAAAGAATGAGAAACTAGAGACATTTATAGCTAAGTGGATGCACATTGAGGCCATACTCTTAAGTGAAATAAACAGGACACAGGTGTAAATACCCAATAGTTTCTCTGGTGTGAAAAACCAAAAGTGTAAATAAGAATCAAAATATATAATTGATATTGTGAAATAGGAAGAAAATGTTTAAAGGAATAGGGGATGTGGGAGGGGAAGGGGAAAGGAAAGAAGAGAAAAGAAAAAAATATGAAAAAAGGAAAAAAGTCTTTGTAAATAGGGAAGGGTGAAGAGGGTGAAGGGAGGGCAGGGGAATGGGGAAAATATAAGAACCAAGATACATCACGTACAGGTACAAGATCCCAATGAAGAATGTAACTGTATTGTATACCTAAAATGTACCAATAAACTAACTGCGAAAAAAACCCACAAAAAAAAAAATAGAAAGGTTGAGCAGGGGATGGTGGTGCACAGCTGTAATCCCAGCACTCTAGGTAAGAGGATCACAAGTTTGAGCCCACCTATGGGTACCCAACGATTTAACTAGGCCCTGTCTCAAAATAAGAAATAAAAAGGACTTGGTATGTAGATCAGAGTGAAGGCCCAGGGTTCAAGTCTCAGCACCATAACAATAATGATAATCTAGGAATAAAATGGGTGCTGTACCAGCAAGCAAGTGCTCTGCCATTACATGATGACCTGACACAAGTAAAAGTACACATGTACATGCCCAGCTTACCTGGAACACCACTCGAGACTTCTCCAAAAGGTAGGTCCTCATGTTGGCACCAATGATTTGGTATCTCTTATCAAAACCAATCTCAATATATTTCCCAAAACGGCTGCTATTATCATTCCTGGTTGTTTTAGCATTTCCAATTGACTAAGAATCAAGGGAGAAAGTAAGATTTTAGAAGTGCAGTTCACGACAAGACACTAGGTTTGTTCAGAAAGAGAAAGGACAGAATGGGCCGTGACTCTTTACAGCAATTCTCTTAGGAACAGCCAGCTTTGGCCCTGCCCACTGCACAATGACACGGATGCGCACGAGTGCCTCTCATCCATGTTGTTGTTCTTGCTATTTCAGGAACAGCAAGCCTGGTCCTAGCAGTCAGGAAGTTTCATACACCATTTGGATACCCTCAAAACACTCCTCCGGGCCAGGAAAGAAAGAATGGATGGAGTCGGGAGCTGCCAAAGCACGCATCAAGATTTTTATTTCTTGGAAAATGTTTTATGTAATTAATGAGATGGTTGAGAAACAAATGAGATGGTTAAGATGGTTAAGTGTTTTCCTGAAAACACTGCCATGCTATTTAGGGTCTTTTCAGAAACCAGCGTTTCTAACATCTTCTACCAACAAAGGTCTCGCTGGATGCTTACTGGCAGAGTATTAGTACTATCCGCCCATTTAAATGCCATTTTAGAAGCCAGAGGGAGTAAAATTTGGTTGATGATTGTATCTAACCTGCAAAATATCTGCTAGAGAATGTACCATAAAACTGAAATGGCCTGTCTTCTTTCTGACTTAGATGACATGCTTCTAATATTTTTAAGTCAGAGAAAAAAAATCATGTAGTTAGAAAAGCAGAGAGTCATATAATGACTTATATTAAATGTTTAATAAGCTAATTTCACAAAAGATCGACATCTTTCACTAGAACAAAGCCTGTGCTGGGGTTAGTACGTCAAAACCACACCAGGGAGAAGAGGTGAAAGTAGTAGTATAGCATTAAAAGAAGAAAACGGGACCAGGGATTCACCGAGTGGTTTCACCGCCTGCCTTGCAAGCGCAAGGTCCCGAGTTTGATCTCTGGTACCAAAAAAACAAAAAAAACCAAAAAATGTGATTCCAGGCCTGAGCCTGGTGTGGAAAGAAGGTTCTCAGCAGAGACAGGATCTGCTGTCCATCCTCTACGTGCTCTCTGCCATATAGAGTGCTGTATTTACAGCAGTCTCCCTAATGTTATTTTTACTTCAATCAGCAAGAGATTGCTAAGGGGGAAATGTTGATCTTACTGTACCACTGATTTTAGTGAAATGCCACATGAGTTACTTTTCTTTAGAAAATGGAAATGAAATCTTCAGTTGTGGTTGCTGAAGATAAAAAAGAACTATTAACATCCAATGTGCCCCAAGAGTCCTCCCTGTCCCCATCTTAAATGAAAAACTGCCAGAGATAAAGAAAACATGATAAAATAGAGAAAGAGCAGCATCGCTCACATTCTGCCAAGGAGCCCACGCTGAGGGTGAGGAGCTCACTCCTAAAAGGAGGGTGCAGATCCCTCCAGCCAGGGGGCCCCTGCATTAGCTGTGTGCAGTGCACATTACCCAAGGAGTTTCCTCAGTCCGCTGGGGACCTGGACATTCCTTTCTTATTTATTTTGTGGTACTGTGGAGTGGAACCCAGGGCCTTCACACTGAGCTATGTCCTAGCCCTTCTTTATCTTTACTTTGGGACAGGTCCTAAAAGTCACTGAGCTCCCCAGGCTGAGCTCCAACTTGGGACCCCCCCTGGCTCAGCCTCCCAGAGCGCTCCCTGGCTCTCCCCTCACCTGGCTTACATTCTTCTCTCAGTATCACAGCAAAAAGCTCTGATATAGAGACATAGCCTTAAAGATGATTTAAACTTACACATTTTCTAACTATAGCCTCAATATTTTATCTATTTTTCGTCTAGCAACTATAAATCCTTTGATAACATTCCTTAGCCCCATATTCCATTTCTGTCTCTCAGTCTGAGAAAGCCCTTCTGAAAATTAGTTCTCCGGGCCGGGGATTTAGCTCAATGGTTCCACTGCTTGCCTTGCAAGTGCAAGGACCCGAGTTTGATGCCAGGTACAAAAAAAAGAAAAAAATAAAAAGAAAATTAGTTCTCTAGGGCCGCGGATTTTACTCAGTGGTTCCACCATCTGCTTTGAAAGCGCAAGGTCCTCAGTTCGATCCCCAGTACCAAAAATAACAACAACAAAAAAATTAGTTCTTCTAACTCTAGCAACATTTTCTTAATCCAAATTCCCACAGATAGACTAAGTAAGAATATAAAGAGAAATAAGTAACCATTATGGATCCCCTTTATCTTTTCTGTTTGTCCAGGCAAACATGATAAATTCTTTTTTCTTTCTTTCCTTTTTTTTCCTGTACTGGGGATTGACTCAGGACCTTGCCCTTGCGAGGCAGGCACAGTGCCACTGAGCTAATTCCCAGGCCCAAACATGACAAATTTTTTATAACTGCCTATAAAAAGTATTATCTGGGGCTGGGGATTTAGCTCAGTGGTTCTGTCACCTGCCTCGTAAGAACAAGGTCCCGAGTTTGATATCCGGTACCAAAAAAACAAGTATCTGGGGCCAGGGATTTAACTCAGTGTTTCCATCACCTGCCTCATAAGTGCAAGGTGCCGAGTTTGATCCCCAGTACCATAAATAAATAAACAAATAAAATAAAAAGTAATATCTGAATTAGGTGCAGTAGCCCAAACCTGTAATCCTACTACTCAAGAGGCTGACACAGGAGGATCACAAGTTTGAGGTGAGCCTGGACAACTTAGATTCTATCTCAAAATAAAATAAAAGGGCTGGGGATAGAGCTCAGTGGTAGTGTTTGCCTAGAATGTGTAAGGGTTCGTCCGTAGTACCACAACAAAAAAAAAGCAGTATCTGTATCCACTCCAAATTTTTCATCTTGTCCCACTAACAAACTCTGACCTATATTGCAGGAAACCACTGCAGCTGTTTGTTTTGCAGCACTGGGGACTGAACCCAGAGAGCACGGAGCTATTCCTTAATATTTCTGTGCCAGGTTGGCCTCCAGCTCTAAATTTTCCTGCCCCTGCTCTGGAGCAGCTGGGACTGTGAGCATGCACCACTAGGCCCAGCAAACTGTCATAAAATGGTTCATTTGTCTTTTGACATATTCTGGCAAGTTCATTCTCTACTTAAGTTATCCTCAAGACAACTTCAAGTCCTAGTTTTATAAGGGTAGCCTAGAAGACATGGGATTCCCTGATGTTATCACAGTCAAGACTTTAGGGTAGTCTAACATTAACAGCAGACCATGGGGGCCGGGGATTTAGCTCAGTGGCACCATGCCTGCCTCAAAAGCACAAGGTCCTGAGTTCGATCCCTGGTACCAAAAATAAATGGAAAATAAGATGAAAAGGGCTGGGGCTGTAGTGCAGTGTGAATCTCCAGTACCACCAAAAACAAAACAAAACAAATACAAAAGCAGGTTAAAAAAAAAAAAAAGAGTAGACTATGGTGCAAGCACATAATCTCAGCATCCTGAGAGGCTGAGGCAGGAGGATTGCAAATTTGAGCCCCCTCTGGGCAATTTAGTAAGTCAACTTAGCAAGACTCTGTCTCAAAAGAAAAAATAAAAGAAAGGGCTGGAGATGTTGCTCAAGGGGAACAATTCCCAGTACTGCCAAAAAAGATGACTGGAATAGCCTGATTTGTTGTCAAATTCCTGGAATTTGTTGTTGTGACAAAGCCAGTAAAAACAATGGTAGGAAGCAAAGCTCTGTTGTTTTCTGATCCAAAAAAAAACTGGCAAAAAATTGTATCTTCCCAGTCTTAGCACAGCGGTATTCACCACTATATCCACAGCTAAATTCTTTCAAAATCTTAACTTGCTTCAAAATCCCTCTTCTGTCTTGTGGCACAGATGGCAGTTTCTTCCTGCCCACCCACTGTCAGAAAACGTCCCGTCTTCTGTCCACAGTGTGCCCAGCCTTGGAGCCCAGCGTGCCTATCCTTCCGTCCCAGCAGGAAGCCTGAGGCTCTGGAGGGCACTCTGTGGACGGCAGGTCACAGCACCCGGGTGTCACACACAGCACTGCAAGCCAGGCACAATTACCTCTGTGAACAGATTACTGCAAAACCACCGCACCTCGGGTGTGCCAGGCCAGCTTAACTGCTTCTGTGCTTAGGTGATATATAAGCTTGACAGAGGAAAAAGATAGGAATAAAGAAATGCCCACTTGGGTTTTTTAAGCATTTTCTTAGAGCATATTAGTAACACAGAACACTGAGTTTTTAACAAGAATATAGAGAATGTGACTTTCTATTAAATTTTTCATGCACTCAAATTAAAATGGCACATCTTCTTTCTGATTTAGGTGAGACGCTTCCAGATTTTTTTCTTTTAAGGCAGAGCAAAAAAATAAAGTGGTTAGAAAAGCAAGGGTCACAGAATGCATATATTAAATGTTTAGTAAGCTAATTTCATCTAAGATAACTAGATATAAAAAGAAAGCGTTGCTTAAGCATGTCCAAACTAATTTCTCTCCTCTTAATGAAACTTATTTTCTCACAAAACCTTAATGTTTCAGGGCCGAGGATTTAGCTCAGTGGTGTCATCACCTGCCTCGCAAGTGCAATTCCCTACAGGAAATCAAACTCGGGACCTTGCGCTTGCGAGGCAGGCGCGGGCACCACTGAGCTGAATCCCCGGCCCCAGGAAAACTTTAACGTTTCAAAAATCATACTAAATAGTCTTCTAGCTTCAAATTTTAAAAATACTCAAATTGACTAAGGGAAAGAAACTGGTAAATGAAGTGCTGCTGCCTGCACCTATAGGCAAACAGCTCAACTGGAAGACTGGAAACGCAGGACAGTGTCTCCCATAGGCAGTTTCCACTCTTCCCAGCTATCTTCCTGACATGTAGAAAAGTGTTTTCCTAATCTCTGTGGCTGGGAGATCCCAGGCTTTCCGACATGTGCTCAGTCAGTGCTCTGCGCACACTTCTCAGCGAAGAGCAGAGTGAGACCTGGGCATGGCGCTATCTTACCTCCATGATGGGATTGGAGGCCAGGACCTTTTCTTCAACATTGGCCTCACTGGCAGAGCCGCTCACGGTGGCGAAGTATCGCATGGCATACTTGGCTGAGACTGTTTTTCCTGCCCCAGATTCGCCACTGACGATGATGGACTGATTCCGTTCATCCCTGCAAAACAAAGACAAGTCACTGCCACACTGCACACTTCTGACTCCAATCAGCAGTGTTTGCTCCCCATGCTCGCTGAGAGGCACGGCCAGCTCCTGCTGGCTTACACATGCAACGGTAGGGATGGAAGCATAAGAAGATTCCCTAGTAAGAACAATCACTTACAAACTAGACGGAGGTGCACTCCTGTAATCCCAGCTCTCTTGGAGCCTGAGACAGGAGGAAAACAAGTTTGAGCCCAGCCTAGGAAACTCACTGACTCAGTGAGACCCTATTTCAAAATTAAAAATAATAAAAGGGCTGGGGGTGTAGCTCAATGGTAGACAGCTTGCTCAGCATGTACCAGGCTTAGGTTTGACCCCAGTGCAGAGGGAGAGTGAAAAAAGGAGGGAAGGGGGCGAGACGGAGGAGAAGAAACAGCTCATTCTGAAGGGCCAAGCTTGTATGTGTCATCCTGTTCGTGGAGCTCCCTGACCTCACTCTGACCATCTCATCTCTTTTCTGATTTGTAGGCTGACGTGGACATACAGTACACACTGCGCTGCACTTCAGGTGCAACCAGAATCATGCAACAAATTCTGCGACCACAATCGTGGAAAGAACTAAGCTCGTGAACTGTGGCACCGCTGTACTTATCGCCTCTGTTCATTCGTGGCTGGTTGTAAATCAATTGCTCCAATAAAGCAGGTCTCACTTTGGTGCCCATGTCCCTTAAAAATGTCCTCACAGAAGCTAGAGACATTGATAGCTAAGTGGATGCACACTGAGGCCACACTCGTAACTGAAATAAATAGGACACACGTGTGTGAATACCAAATAGTTTCTCTGGCATGAAAAAGTAAAGTGTGAATAAGGATCAAAATGTATAATTGATAATGTGAAATAGGAAGGAAAGGTCTAAAGGAGTAGGGGAAGTGGGAGGGGAAGGGGAAAGGAAAGAAAGGAAAGGAATAAGTATGAGAAAAGGAAAAAAACGGAAACAAAGTCTCTGTAAAGAGGGAAGGGTGGAGGGGGTGAAGGGAGGGCAGAGGAAGGGGGGAAAAATAAGAACCAAGATACTCATGTAAAGCTACAAGATCCCAACGATGAAGGTAACTGTATTGTATACCTAAAATGAACCAATAAACTTAATGAAAAAAAAAGTCCTCATAATTTATCTTTTTCAATATGTTAGCCAAGGGTCAGTATCAGCAGTCTGGATTCCTCTCCCTCACATGTTCAGAAGAGGGAAGGGCAGGGAAGTGAACAGAATTAAGATGTGCTATGTACATGTACCAATGCCCCACAAGGAACAGAAGCACTATGTACTGCAAATATATACCAATAAAAACTTTGTAAAAATAGATGCTCAGAGAAATGCATTTTGCCTAATTCCTCATGATGGGTTCTGTCAGTGCACCCTACGTGACAGCTGAAGTGACAAACTTCTCCCAACACCCCTCCCCACAGCAAACAAAACCTGGAGAAAACAAAACCCCAAGGAAAACTGCTATTCTCATCTGGATGGCTTTCAAGAAGCTCTTTCAAGTCTTCATGACAAAATGTGCCCAAAAAACCCTAAAAATGGTATCTAAGATCCTTTCCCTATGACATGGGGAAGAGCATGAGAGGCAACAGAGCCACCGCTTGCTCCAAAAAGCACAGCAAACTGCACACCCAGGCATGCACATCCCAGTGTGAAGCAGAGGCAGAGATGGGTCTGCTTTTCCAGGGTCCACAGCCAGGAGATTTTAAGCCACGTTACTGTTTCTTGTTTCCCTGGTGCTCTGGCCAGAGAGGCCTCCCTTCTCCCAGGCTTAGGAGTGCATTCCAACCACAGGTGAGCAGCGCTCTTCATTCCCAAAGACTCGGAGTCCAGACTCCAGCCTGCTATGAGGTGGTGAGTGGTCTCCAGCCTGGGGCGCTGCTGGATGGCAGGGGACCCTGGGAGGCAAGGCCGGGAAGGAAGCGGGTCCCTGGTGAGCGCCTTCCTCTCCCCGTGCACTGGCTGTCACGGTGAGCAGCTTCTCCTGCTTCCTGCTCCTGCTGGGACCTGCTACCTTAGCACAGCAGAAACAACCCACTGATGGATGGACCGAAGCCCCCACGCTGTGGGCCAGAACAGGCCTGACCTCCTGGCTCACAGTTTTCTCAACTTTAAGATGAAATGTCAAAAAAAAAAAAAAAAAAGATGAAATGGAGTCTCAGGTCCCTCAAACGCTAAAATACTATGATCCAGAAGTCAAATTGACACAGGGTTGACGTTCACATGTTTACTTGCACATGGGACTGGACAGGCCACATATACTCAGTGGGCTTGAATGCTACCACTGAGACAGTCAATATTCTTCCTCGAGGGGGCCCCAAATAAAAAGATAGTCAAAACCAATAAAGAAAGGGCTACAAAGAGAAAAATGTAAAATAATCCATTGTTTGCTTTTTTGGAGGGGTGTGCTGGGGTTCGAACCCATGGCCTGGCAAGTGCTTGCCCACTGACTGACATCCTCAGCCCCCGTGTTTGCTTTTAATTTAAGAGGGGGAAACAGAAATCTTTATAAAATCAGTACAATGAAATCTTTAAAATGTATTTCAGTTTACGTAGCCACAGGAAGAAACACAAAAAGGAAGACACGTAGGACAGGTGGAGTGGGGGAGCCAAGCAAAGACACGGAAAGGAGAAGGGGGACACATGAGCAAGGGACAGGAAAGAGCAGGAGAAGCGTGAGAACACGAAATATCAGGACACGCTCGCTACCGGCCCAAGGTAAACACCACAGCCCACCCTCTGCCGCCCTCTGAGAGGCAGGTCCCAGGCTGTCTCGTACCCCTAAGAAGTAACTGGCCGAGGTCCCAATGTGTCAGTGAGTGGAGGAACTGCTCCCTGAGTAGTCCCTTGGGTGCTCCTGCCCTTACAAGAGCCTTCTTAAGAGCACAACTGAATTAAGGAGTGCGGCTCTTCACCCCTGCTCAGGGTGCCGGCACTAAGGCTGGGTGCCTTCTGGACAGGCAGTCCTTTCGGGGGCCTTGGCTGTGGCCCCGGTTGCCCCAGGCAATGGGTGCTTCGGAAGAGGGGTGAGCTGCCTGGCTTGTCTGTCAGTGCTTCCAGGACTCTACTGGGAACTGTGTGAACTTCACTCATTCATTCAACAAACACGGAACAAGCAGCTAACCACTTCATGGAGATTAAAGAAGACTGGGACTGCTGATAAATCTTTCTCTGCATCTATACAGTTCATCAAGAGTTCTATTTTCTAGATTTTCCTCTTGAGATTTATCCTTTCAAAAAATGTAATTCTAGTTTTTCAAGGTCATACTGAATATTATTCCTATCTTCCAGACAGTCAGTTTGTCTTTCTTAGAGCCCGGGTGCCTCTGTACTTTAGCAAGGCGCACAGCAAACGTAAAAATCGATGTTGCAACACCGAAGCTTAGGTATTAGAGAACGGTCAGTTCCAGCACGAGAAAAGACTGGCAAGAACGCGACACAGAACAGAAGAAAAGCAGCGCTCTTCTGGGGAGGCCAGCAAGGCTACCAGGGTCAGAGGCTCCTGTGGGAGTTGCTTTCTAAGGAGCACACTTAGAAAGGGCACGCGCCAAGGACCCTGGGGACGGCTACTGATGCTGCCTGAGAACACTAGGGTCGGCTCTGCTCTGCCGAGCTATGTCTACAGCACCACTGCAACCCTCAAGGTCCAAGCTGGACCCACCCCACAGCCCGCCTGCTCCCTGGACACGGCTCTTGCTGCAACCCCCGTCACAGGGAAGGCCTGGCCTTTGGAGCCAGAGTATACCATGCAGTCAACCTCGATCCCATCTCTCGGACCCACAGAGCAGACCCTTGCCAGTTATCTTTAAAGTGGACCCAGAAGCCACCTCCTCACCATCTCCACTATGTGTGCTCAACTGATTACCACTTCCTGCTTGGGTCATTTCAATAACCTCCTGACCAGCCTCCTGTCTTCTACCTCTGACTCAGACTGTTCTTATCATTTTGATTTCTAGAAATTTACTTTTGATATGATTTCAAAGTTACAGAAAATTACAAAAATAGCAAAATAAATTCCTGTACATGTTAAAGTCAGATTCATCAACTGCCCACTTGCTTTATTAAATTCTGATTCCAATATTTTCTGAAATGTTTGGGTGTAGGCTACAAACTTAACTTCTACATCTTTCCAACTGTACTTCCTATGAATACAGATATCCTGTTACATATCCATAATGATTAAAATCAGGAAACATGATACTGTCACCATACTGTTACTTATTCATAATCTGTAGGGGTTTTTTCCTGTACTGGGGATTGAAACCAGGGCCTTACACATGCTAAGCAAAATCGAGTGTTGCTTCACAGCAGCCAGCCAGCCATCTCTATCTCTCCGTCTACCTCTCTATGGGGAACAGTACTGGGGACTGAACCTACATCTCTGCACTGAGCTACATCCCTAGAACTTTTTCTTTTTCTAAATTCTGAGACAGGGTCTTGCTAAGTTGCCCATGCTGGGCTCAAACTTTCAATCTTCCTGCCTCAGCTCCCAGAGTACTGCGATTATAGTACATTTTATTTTGAGACAAGGTCATGCTAAATTGCCCAGGCTGGCCTTGAATTTGCAATCCTCCTGCCTCAGTCTTACAAGTCATGAGATGACAATCCTACACCTCCATACACCTCATACACCACTCCATATTCCATATTCCAGCTGTATTAAGCATGCAGCACTGTCCACTACAGAGCGCACTCATAGACAGGTACAAGTCATGTATTTTATTTATTTTTACTCTTTACCACACTTTCCTCTGTGGGGTGGGAATTTCTGCCTATTTTGTCTAACGTTTTCTGCTGCCCCTGTGTCCAGGACTGTACCCGGCATTTGCGTCTGCTGAAGGAACTGCAACTGAACGAATGGTGACTTGCATCTCCCGAAGATGCAAGTGGCTCTAGGACGGGGGTAACGTGGGACACCAGGATGCACATATGGTATAGTGAGAAATGATCCTGCAGCCAGCACTGGTTCCTGGCTATAAGCCTAAGCTGACACGGTCTGAGGAGGTGTTATAGCAAACTTTATGGAGACAGATTTATACACATAAATGGCAAAAATAATGCTGTAACTGAGTGAAGCATACTTCAAAACTGCCTGGAAAAGAAACAAAGGTAAAAGACAAACTTCAGCTGGGAAATTACATTGAAGCCAGGTGTGGTGGCACATGCCTATCATCTCACCACTTGGGAGGCTGAGGCGGGAGGATCACTATGAGTTCGAAGCCAGCCTGGGCTACATAGTGAGACCCTGTCTCAAAGAAAAGAAATCATATTGAGTGACTGAGGCATAAGAGATAACTGGCTGGGGTGGAGGGGTAGGAATGACAGGAAAGCAAGGTAAATCTGAGGGTAAACCTGACACCACCGATGGACCACAAGCCATGCCTTCATGTGTAAAAACTGCATTTGAGCCCAGACTAGGCAATTTGGCAAGGCCCTGTCCCAAAATAAGAGATAAAAAGGTCTGGGATGTAGCTCAATGCAAAGGCCCTGGGTTCAATCCCCAGCACCCACCCTCCACACACATACAAAGGGCATAATGCTACACCCATTACTCCAGATAATCAGTATGCATTAATATTAAAAGAGGATATGACTCCTATGGGCTCTTTCATTGAAATAATTCTAAACCCCTCTCAAATGCTGGTCCAGTCATGTATACTCTCCCTGGCTGCAGAAGAGAAAGTGAAAACCTCCGCAGTATTAGTTTTCTCTCCATATCATAAACTGCTAGAAGGTTTCCCATATCACATTTATAATATGCCAAGTTCTGCTCTGTATGTCATTCTTCTCTGCACTCACTGCTAAGAGGACAATCTAGTCGAGAATGCTTACTTCCTCTGATTGTCCACCCTCCAACGCAGGCCCATGTTAATGCCGACCTGTCTCAGGGCTGCCCAGCACCCCCAATGCCCTGTCAGGTAACAGCACCACCAGGATTCACATCTCCTTGGCCTTCACTCCCTACAACACAGATACTTGTTTTCCAGCTCAAAGGCCCTTTAGTTGTGCTGTCACCCTCCCATCTACAAAATATAACATCTGGCCTTGTCTAGTCTGAGGGTCATGATGAGATGCCAAAGCCAGTTTTTAAAAACTAAGCGTCCTTTTATAAATGCAAGCTTCTCTTAATAGTAATAACAATCCAGGCCATCTGAGACTAACTGTTTAGTAAAGCTTACATGTTACCCTATACTTTAAAATATCCATGGCTCAGCAGAGAAGAAATCATCACCTTTCATGGGAGACAAAGCAACAACACAAGCATCAACCAACCTGGCCATCTGCTTGTAGGCCTCCTCTGCCACTGCGAAGATGTGTGGGTCCATGTCCCCCATGTTCTGCCCACTGTACGCGTTGATGATATCTTCTCCATAAATAGGCAGCTGCTCATAGGGATTTATAGCTACCAGGACTATACCTGGGGGTGGAGGGATAACAAAAAGGAAAAAAAAGTCAAGGAGATCCAATGAGCATATCAAAGTTGGTAAACCGAGGCTCACAGTTTATACAAAACTTCGTTTCAATTCGGCTGATATTAAACTAATAAATTGTCACACATCAATATATACCACAGCTTTTGCTTCTCTGAACTCATTATACATAGTTCTGACTGAGACACCATTTAAAAACTGGACAAGGCCCAGAGGTGTGGTGCACACTCGTAATCCCAGCACTCAGGAGGCTGAGCCAGGAGGATTGCCACAAACTCAAGGCCAGCCTAAGCTACATAATAAGGTCAAGATTAGCCTGAACTACATAGTGAGACCCTGTCTCAAATCAAACCAAACAAACACACACACAAAACTGGACAGGGCTTAAAATATGACAGTGCTAAAAAAAAAAAGAAATATATATATATATATGTGTGTGTGTGTGTGTGTGTGTGTGTGTGTGTGTAACACTGCTGCAAGAATTTTAAATATTTTCATAATATTCAATCTAAAAATTCCAATTCTAGAAATTTATTCAAATGAAATAATCACAATTCATGAAAGGGTTATTTTTTACAAAGATGTTTACCACAGTGGTGATACTCATAAGAGTGAAAATGGAAACAAAGTATATAATAAAAGGAGAGCAGTTGAATACATTTTTGTTACATCCACATGACAGACTAGTATGTTGCCAAAACACATTTCCAAGGGTAGTAAAGGAACATGTGACCTGGAACCACATATGAGCAGGGTGTGGGGGCACACACCCATAACTGCAGGTACTCTGGAGCAGGAGGATCACACTTTTGAGGCAGCCTAGGCAAGTCAGCAAGATCTCATCTCAAAAAAATTTTAAAAACCATATGCAAACTGATTCCATTCTTCTATTTGCCCATAGTGTCTAATACATACAAAAAGAAAGGACATGTTAACATAATATGGTCATTTTTGGTAGCAATTTACATGTAATTTTTCTTTTTAATCCTTTTCTGTATTTCCTTAAAGTTTTACAGTAGGTGTATATATTACTTTAATAAAGTCATCCATTCAACAAATACTTTTCAGCTCCAACTACATTTCAAGTCTTTTTAAGTGATGGCTTTGTAACAGAAAAAAAAGACAAGTCTTTACTCGTATGGAGCTTACATTCTAGTGGGAAATTCAAGCAATAACGTAAGTAAGCAGAATGCAAGGTGTGATGAAAAACTGTGAAGATTTAAATGAAGAGAAATTATTTCAGTAAACGTCATATTGCTGTTGATCCCCATCAAAACTCTCCCCTCACTCTGAACATACTTGTCCCGTGGTTCTGGCCACTTTCTGCAGCAGCTTTGGAGTCCTCTTTCGTGAGGGTCTCCAGTTGTGCTGTTGTAGCTGCCTTGATGTCCTGAGCCCTTCCCTTTCAGGGTCACTGTGACTTGGGGGAAGAGCCGAAGGTCACACAGTGCCAGATCTGGTGGATAAGGTGGGTAAGGACGCTCCTGTGTTTTAGGAGCTTGCCCTTCTGTTGGACGGCACTCAGCAGCACATTCATTATATTTCTGATCACAATGTGTAAAGACCCTCAGGGAAGAGGACTCCAGAGCTGCTGCAGAAAGTGGCCAGAACCATGGGATGAGTGTGCTTGAAGGGGAAACATTCTGAAGGAGATTCATGGCAATGTGTCTTTTACTGTAATATATCTTTAATTTAAACATTCACTGTCTATTTTGATCACCCCTTGTATACACATACACATATCTTACAGGTCAGACAACAGCAGGGAAACAGAAAAAGCAGAAAAGGAAGATAGTTGTGAGGAAGAGGAGGCTTATGATTTAGATAGGGTGTCAAGGGAAGGCGTCACTGAGATGTAACACGCAAAAAATTTGGGGCTGAGAAAACAGCTTAGAGGCAGAGCATGTGCTTAACATGCACAAGGTCCTGGGTTCAGTCCAAAGTATACGAAAAAAAATGGCAAAAAATGTTCTTTTTTTCCTTTCTTCAGGTGGTACGAAGGACTAAACCAAGGACCTCTGCACTGAGCTACATTCTCAGACATTTTTTATTTTTACTTTGAGATAGGGTCTCACTAAATCACTAAGATGCCGAGGCTATGCTCTAATTTGCGATCCTCCTGCCTCAGCCTCCCAGAATTCTAGGATTACAGGAAGGCCTGACCTGCTTACCTGAAGAAAAATGAAAACTGAGAAAAGAAATATTCATTTAATAATGAAAAAGAAAAGTTAACATAAAGGATGTACATTCTTTTGGGAAGAAAAGGAGGTTGCTCCCACCCAAAATAGGACAGAATGAAGGAATGAGCAGCACTGACGGGTACAACAAGCAAACAAACGCAGGTGGAAGTGGACAGAAACCCAGGTCTAAGCTGCAGAGGAGAGTGTGACTAGGGCCAGGGATTTAGCTCAGTGGCTCCGCTGCCTGCCTCTCAAGCACAAGGTTCCGAGTTCGATCCCTGGTACCAAAAACAAAAACAACAACAACAACAACAAACTAGTGAGGAGAGTGTGACTAGCCAAAGAAAGGTAAGATGTCAGGAGGAAAAGAGCCTCAGATGAGGAGGACATAAAGAATAAGAACGTGGGCCAGGGATGTAGCTCAGTGGTACCGCCACTTGCCTCGCAAGTGCAAGGTCCTGAGTTTGATCCCCAGTACCAAAAAAAGAGAAGAACGAAACAGAGAGAAGCAGAGACAGGGAGAGGAGCCCCAGCGCACGCAGAGGCACAGGCACAGGCACAGGCCGAGCCTGGCGAGTGCTGCAGCCCTCGGGGCAGCGGCAGGGGCAAGGAGACAATCACGTGCCCATCAGCCCTGCATCCTAAGGCGCTGAGAAGGGACACTAAGTCCCAGGAGCTCGCGCCAAAGGTCAATCCTTGAGCATCTACTCTTCATGCAGTGTTTCGAAGATAAAAATAACTGGTGAGTCTGACCTTGACTGACATACACTTCTGGCGGAAATCCAAAGACAGGCCCAATTCCTTTTATTCTGTGAAAGATGATGTAAATTCACAGAGCTTTCGGATGACTCTGAAGTGATTTTCAAGTGTAAGAGCAAACCCAGTCGCAGCCTGCTTTCCCCAGCCCCGTCTCCAGGCCCGCATCCGCTGAGGCAGGGCTCCCCACCATGGCAAAGGCCGAGCACACTCACCACAGTACGTGTAGATAAGTTTGGAGTCGATGAAGCGGACTCTGAGGTTATGGAGCACAGCGGGCTCATGGAGATAGCTGAGGGCCGTGAGGTCATTCTCACCGACCAGGATGTCGGGGTTGCGCAGGTGAGGTAGCTCCTTGGTCTTTGGATCCAGTCGGTACTCCAGGTCCTGAAACACAAGGCGGCATGCACAGCAGTTACAGCGCCCGCGGGACAGACGCACCTACACTCTGCTTATTTACTATTCCTGCTCTGCTGCTCAGCTGCAGCTCTACTGACTTCCCGCTGTCTTCTGGCGTCCCAGGCACTGGTGGAAATGGGGACCTTCCTGCTTCACTGCACACAGTAACTGCACTGACACAGCTGGAGAGGCCGGAGCCTGCCCTTCAATTGTTTATATGAGCTTTCTTTCCCCCTTCTTTACCCATGAGAAGTGACAGGCAAGGTGAGCAATCAAGAGCTAGACTCCAACCGAGTGAGGTGGCCCATCCTGTAATCCCGTATTCTGGGAGGATTGTAAATTCCAGCCCAGTCTGAACAACTTAGTGACTTAGCAAGACCCTCTCTCAAAATAAAAAATAGAAAGGGCTGGGATGTAGTTCAGAGTGAAGACCCTAGATTCAATCCCGGCACTGCCAAAAGAAAGAGAGAGCTTGACATCAGGGTCAGACTGATCTGAGTTCAAACCCTAAGACTGATATTTACTCTTTACACGGCCTCATACGTGTTCCTTAAACTACATACTTCATTTATAAATGGCATAAAAGAAATGGCCCACAAAGGTGTGGTAAAAGTTGAAAGAGCCAATGCGTGGCATGTGGCTAAATCCTTAGAAACTTCTGAACCTAGGGGCCCAACCATCCCAACACTACACACAAAGCTTTGTGTGCATGCATGCATATGCACATACAGGCGTGAGTGTAAACTTACTTTGGAAAGACATTTCATATCTCTAATTAAATTTAATGAGGTGCCTGGCCCCAAACATTAAGATATACCATGCAACTAAAATCACAGGAACACAGCTTTATGACAGTCAACCACGGAAATTGTCACCCAACTATGTAGTATGGGCAAATGGCACAGGCCAAATGAAAAAAATAAAATAAAATATTTGTGTATTTAGTTATGGGTTTTTTTTTTTTTTTGAAAAATGGTTTTGCTATATAGTCTAGGACCATCTTGAACTCACTGTGTAGCCCAGGCTGGCCTCAAACTCATGATTCTCCTGCCTCAGCCTCTGAGTGCTGGGAATACAGGTGTGTGCCACCATAAAGTGCAATGTGATGGTAGAGAGGGACAAGTTAGTTTGTGAAAAGCCAGTTCTATTACTACTGAAGGTAAATAACAGCGATGGAAAATCGTTCAGAGCTTTCCATAATAACGAGGAGCTGCCTAGAGCACGTGTGCCACGGGCTCACCACCACCGATACAGACAAAGATGAGGGACTCAGGTCAGCACTCGAGGATTACACTAAGGAAAGCAGGACGCTCTTTTCTCGCCTGCTTACGGGTGTGAGGCCCTCCCCGAGGGCTGGCTGGGCCTGTGTGGCCGTCAATACGCCGTCTCCAGACAGTGCTCCCCCCCACTCTCCTGGCCTGCCTGCCTGCGGTGTTTTTCCCAATCGCGCAGAAATACAATTAGAGCTGGACGAGAGAAATGCCCTGGCTTCACCGCTACAGGCCAGATGGTATCAGCCCAGATGACTCCGGGTGGCAGAGCAACCCAGAACTCTGTCTTCACTAGAGGACAGGGTTCTTACGGTGTCCGTGGGGGAAGGAGCTGGAACTGAGATAGTAGAGAAAACACTAATGTTAGGACTGTCCATAAGATCTTTAGATTCCAGCAATGCCTCAACTGAGCATCCAACCTGTTTTAAAACCTTACCCAGACGTATTGGGACATGCCTGTAATCCTAGCACCGGGACACTGAGGCAGGAAGATGACTATGAGTTCGAGGGTTACACAGCAAGACCCTATCTCAAAAAAACAAAACAAATAAATAAAAAATCTTTAGGAAAATTTCCTTTTTGGAATTAGAGTTCAAATTGACATAACCTGTTTCTCTGTAACCACTGGACATTATCAAATAAATGTACTCTTCTAATAGTGCAAAGACCATGTTTTTCTCTATCTTATTCTAGGACCCTGTGAGACTTTGGTTCCTACAAGGAAAGTGACCGTGGGTAATTGGGAGGTCTTGTAATGTTTATTCTTCTTGCTGTCTCCCGTCCTACAGATCTGCTTTTTAAGTGCATGTGGCATTTTACTTCTAGTTTTTAAAAAATGTTCAGGATTAATGAACACAGAACATACTTTGGTAAATTGATTTCACCTAGGTGTATGGATTACCAATTCTGAAACAACTTTACATATATAACAAATAAGTACGTATACTGTACATAAGGAAAGCAAAAGAAAAAAAGAATTTACAAATAAATATAGGGAGGATAACAGAATTAACCCTGTAGTGCTGAGTGTGTTAGACTGGAGAAAAAGGGATTGCTATGAACTCATGATATGGGTATCTAGACATTAGTGTTTATATTTATATTTCCTATCTGTCCACCAAGAGCCCTAGCAATGAGCACACCTACCGCCCAGATCTTGGTTGCTAATACCATCCTCAATCAAAAGCACAGAAAATACAAGACGACTCCTGAATGAATATCTTGGGTTCCTTTTTGTTGTTTTGGGTTTTTTTGGGGTTTTTATTTTGTACTGGAGATTGAACTCGGGACCTTCTGCTTGCAAGGCAGGCAGCAGAACCACTGAGCTAAATCCCCAATTTGAGGTTTTTTTTTAAGTGCTGGGGATCAAACCTGAGGCCTCAAGTACCTTAGAGTACAAGAAAGCAATCCCTAGCACTAGAAAGAAGAAGAAAAAAAAAAAGCACAGAAGTGCTTTAAAAAAAAAAAAAAAGGATGAGCACATGTCAAGAAGGTAAAGGAACCAATCTAAGACAGCTCTCAATGCAAAGGCAAGAGCGATCTGCGAGAATGAATGAAAATAATGAACAATGAAACAAGTATTCTCAATTTAACAGTGCTATACAATAAAGAAGCGACTGAATCAGTGAATAAGTAAGGAGGAAGAGATAAGAGATTCTTCTCTACGGAAGACTTCCAACTAACAAATGTAGCTAGGAGGAAAGAACTGGAGAAATACCTCAGACACCACAGAACCACTTGTTGTAAGCAAGACTTAGTAATGGCCACTGCCACACGAGATTACTGGGCAAGGTTTGAGGAAAAACAGGACACTTGTGTAGCCTCCAAGCAACTCCCAGAAACAGGGACACTTGTTAACAACAAAGGGAAAAAGAAGGAGCTTTGCCGTGGGAAACACGGCAGACATCACCTTTCCAAGTGACCATGGCTTTGTGGAGCCTCTGACACCATGCACTGAGGTCACATCAACCCTCTCAACATGTGACCACCTTCATCCAATCATGAGGAAACTGCACAATGGGACATTCTACAGATCACACAACAAGTTCTTTCAAAACCACCAAGGTTATGGAAGACAAGGAAAAGCAGAGGACGTCACCAACTGGAGGTGACTAATCAACTCAGAACCCAGGGTTCAAAGTAAAAGGGGCACTATTAGAAAAACTGGTGGAATCCAAATAAAATCAGTAGTTCAGCAATAGCTTCATAGCAATGTCACTGTCCTTGCTTTGATGATGACACTGGCTGTGCATGGCGTGAAAGTGAGGGGACACACGGGCTGCTGTGCAAAGTGCCTCGATAAGACACAGCCTGAAGTCCCCAGCACCGTGTGTGACCAGAGCAGGTGACCAGTTGGTGCTGGACAAGTTCATTCCTCAGTCTGACACTCAGGGCTGTCTTCATCTGGCCCAGCTCTCCCTTGCCCTCTTATCAACAAGCCTTGTTGTCTCCCCGCTGCTCACAATGAGTCCTCTCTGAAACACAACTCTAGCGCCATCCCTCTTTAGGAACACTACATTCAATCCCCGAAGCGCCCAAGGACGTTCAGTTTAGCATGGACACCAGCTCTCCATGCTGTGTCCACTCAATCCTGGTCCTGCCCTCTTGCTTCACAGCCCATCCCCACACAACCTGCGTGTCCAAACACAATCCCTGTGTGTGCCCTGCTGTGAACACGCTCCTCCAGAGCCCTCAACTGTGCTGCCCGGGCCTCGAATTCTTAGGGCCCTCCTCACCCTGCAGCCTCCCCAGCCCTCTCACCACCCAAGCCTCCACTCTGCTCCTGTTTCTAACATATGTTTTACTGTTCTGTGGGCCAGACTGTTTGTCGTCTCTTCCTTCACAGTGACATCAAAGATCGCACCTTCTGCCGCCTCTTAGCATGGTCCACTGCAGCAGGTCCATCAATGAGTGTGCGCTGAACGGAACACATACCTTGAGACCTCCAGTCCAGCTGACTTCTTATATTCACTACCTACAGCCACACAATACGTTCCAACCTTCACAGATCCAGCTACTCCTTTCTCTTTCTCAATCCAAACTCCACCTAGCTTTTAAGCCAATGTGGTGGGGCACACCAGTAGCCCCAGCTACTCAGGAGGCTGAGCCAGAAGGATAGCATGAGCCCAGGAGTTTGAGGTCAGCCTGGGCAACAAAGCAAAAGCCTGTCTTAAAAGAGAAATCCATTCAAATTTTCTCCAGCTTTAAGTCAGTCAAAATCCTTCCCTGAAAGGGCCAGGGATTTAGCTCAGTGGTGCCACCGCCTTCCTTGTAAGCACAAGGTCCTGAGTTCGATCCCTGGTACCACCCCCCCAAAAAAGAAACAAAAATCCTTCCCTGATAACGTAGCCCATGATGCTATTTCCTCTGTTGAGGCCCTAAGCCCTCATGGAGCTTCCAGTACAGCAGAGTGGTTTCTACCACAGACCACAAAGGCAAATTTCCTGGCTTCGTTCTTTAATACCTGTATACCTGTATAACCAATCGGGCTGTCACTTAAACGCTTTAAGCCTCAGTTCCTGTTTTGTAAAGCAGGAATAATCACAGCCTTACCTCTGGAGACCGTGAAGACTGAATGAGTGCAGTTAGGACCACACCTGCTTCATATCAACCCCTCCGTACAGTGTCAATGACGTCCTATGCTAACCTTCAGACATTTCCAGCCTTGACATTGCACTACTCTCTATCTCCTCCTTATGTAACTTCTCATGTACTTATATCCAGTCTCCCTGGCTGAACTAAAAGATTTTTAAAGAAAATTAACGTCACAGAGGTTTCTAAGAAAGGAGTGTGACATGGCCTGTCAAACAGTAGAGTGACAAAATTAAAAGGTACGACAAACAGGAGGTGCTTCCTCTCAGAGGGAGTGCAGGGGTGTGGACACACAGCCGTCCTTAACCTCATCTGGTGGCTGGGAAGTGCTTCATAAAAAAAAGCTTCAAAAAAAAAAAAAGCTTCATAGAAAATATTTCTCAGATAACTGGTCACAGTAAATATCAAATCTTAATTAGACTGGCACCTTAGTATTTTCTTAAAGATAAAAAATTTTAATGTATGTCTCAATATAAAATATAGTTAAACAGACATATCTTTGGGAGAATTAGATGTGACTGTAAGCCTAAGAATCATAATAAATTCATAGGCCTAAATAATGGATTCTTTAAAAAACATTTATTTTATTTATTTTTGATTCTCGGTTCTTTTGGAGACAAGGTCTGCTATGTAGCTGAGGATGGCCCTGAACTCACTGTGTAGCCCAGGCTGGCCTCGAACTCACAGTGATCCTCTTGCCTTAGCGTCCTGAGTACTGTGAGTACAGGCGTGTGCCACACAATGGATTTTTGAAGTACCTACTATTTTCACTAATCGATGGTGGGAAAGAAAATTGATTTTGTCATTTTTATCAACTTAGTAAACAAAAAGATTAGTTCAAAATTTAACTTCCTGTTGGGATTAAGTAAGTCACAGTAAACTTGCAGCTTCAACTCCCCGCACATTAGGTAGGTCAGTGACAGGGAGGTGCGCGCTCACCTTCCCCTCCTCCAGGTGCAGCAGCAGGGCTTTATCTCCAGGTCTGTAGTCCCTCAGCAGCTCTGCTGACCGCCAGACTTCCTCTGGGTCAGGAATCCAAACCCTGGCAAACTAGAAGACAAAAATTCTTTAAAAATTTAAACTAGGAAATCAATTACTTTGGAGTGATACATAAAATATATCATGCCTTTAATTATAATTAAACAATTTATGAAAAAAAGAATCTCAGCCAACATAAAATTCACTTTTTAAATTAATTACCAAAAAATGTGTTAGTTCCAGGAGCACCAAGTTTTATAAAATGTGTATAAAATAGCTAGCTTGGCTTTGCTTCCTATGGCAGATGTCACCTGAGGCGCCCTCTGAGGGGACTGACACACTGCACACCGCCTATTCCTGCAGGGCTCTCGTGGGGCCCGCTCAGGGCTCAGGCAGGGCTCAGGACAGGGCCCCGCTGTGTGGCTCTCAGCCCTGCTCTGCAAGGCCCTGTCTGTCCCCCAGCTATCCCTCAGCACTGGGTGCAGGGAAGAGGCGGAAGCTGGTGGCTTGCAGCTGAGTGTGTTTTACATGCTGGGCACCTGCAATTTTCTTCAAGGAGTTCTGCTGCTAACTGTAAAATCTGAAAAGTAAAAAAGCATTCTTGTTTAGATTCTGTCCTCATATTTTATAAAGATGAGTAGAAAGAATAAGAAGGAGACGTTTGGATTGCATTGCCTCAGTACCTTGGAAGAGACTGTGACAGTCGCTGGGGTTCCTGACTGGCAGGTCTTTAGCCTCAACTAGATAGATGCCCTCTAGATTTGAGCCAGATGATCACACGATGAACAAACTATATCAACATGCATAACTGCAGAAGCATTTTATATGACCTCTTGTGCTCTCCAGAAAGGAATCTCCCTTTAAAACCCCAATGCCCACCCATACCTATCACCAAGCACTAAACTAAGATCGAAATGGATTAAAGATCTAAATATTAAGACAGAAACACTAAACTTGCTGGAAGATAAGTTAGGTAGAACTCTTGAAGACATTGGCATAGGAAAAGACTTTATGAACAAATCCTCAGTAGCATGGGAGCTAGCACAAAGAATCAACAACTGGGATCTCGTCTTATTAAAAGGCTTCTGCACAGCAAGAGAAAGCACCAGCAGAGCTAAGAGACAACCTACAATGTGGGAAAAAAATTTTAGCAGCTGTAACTCAGACAAAGGACTACTATCTAGAATATATAAAGAAAAAAAAAAAAAGAGAATATATAAAGAATTGAAAAAAATCAGACCCCCCCCAAATTCAAAGACCCAATTCAAAATGGGCATCTGAAATGAACAGACATTTCTCAGACAAACAGGTAAAAGCAACAAACAAATATATGAAAAAAATGTTCAACAGCACTGCTCATTCGAGAGATGCAGATGAAAACAACACTGAGATTCCACCTCACCCCAGAAAGAATGGCTGCTATCAAGAAATCAACAAATAACAAATGCTGGTAGGGGTGTGGGGAGAAAGGAACCCTTCTCCATTGTTGGTGGGAGTGCAGACTGGTGCAACCACTGTGGAAATCAGTATGGAGATACCTCAAAGAACTAGGGCTGGAGGTCCCATTTGTCCCAGGTATTCCCCTGCTGGGGATCTTCCCCAAAGAATTAAAAAGAATCATACCACAGTGATATATGTGCACCCATGTTTATAGTGGCACAGTTTGTAATAGCTAAAGCTTGGAAACAGCCCAAGTGCCCATCAACTGGAAACTGGATAAAGAAGGCGTGGTTTTTTTTATAAAATGGAGTACTACTCAGCTATAAAGAATGAGAAACTAGAGACATTTATAGTAAATGGATGCATATTGAGGTCATACTCATAAGTGAAATTAATAGGACACACATATGTAAATACCGAATCATTTCTCTAGTGTGAGAAGCTGAAAGTGTAAATAAGAATTAAAATGATTAAAACATATAATTGATAATGTGAAATAGGAAGAAAAGGTCTAAAGGGGTAGGGGTGGTAGGAAGGGAAGGGGAAAGGAAAGAAGGGAAAGGAAAAATTATGAGAAAAGAAAAAAATGGAAACAAAGTCTATGTAAACAGGGAAGGCTGGAGGGGGTGAAGGGGAAAAAATAAGAACCAAGATACATCACGTACAGGTACAAGCACCCAATGATAAATGTAAACATATTATATACCTAAAATGTACCAATAAGAGAATTTAAAGAAAAAAATAACCCCAATGCCCAGTTTCATGAGAGATCACACATGAAAACAGGACATGTGAGGTTCAATTGGCAAAGCAAGGACAGTCATGGTTGATACAAACCAGACTGAAGCTGGACTCCAGCCTGCACTGTGGCCTTTACATTTCATGTAAATTCACCTCTAGATTTCACTTTTAATAGTTAGTAGGGAGCTAATTTACCCATAACTTAAGGCCTAAGAGATATTTCGGTTTAAGTGTGCGATACACAGGGCTACTTCCTGATGATCTGTGATGTAATAGATATTTTGAGTACTGGGCACAAAGAAGTTCTGAAAGCCTGTAACAAACCATTCCCAGATAAAAGAAATGTACATGATTGAGTGACAGACTTAGGGATGGGAGAAAGAGAGGGAACAGAGAGTGGATGGATGAAAGGAGGAGGATCGGAGACGCAAGGCAACTTGAATTAAATGTCTCCTCTAGGAAGAACATTTCAGTAGGTCACCAGGCAGGGGATTATGTTAGCCTCTACCCAGAGCCCTCCCTTGGGAAGAGGCTGCGGTATGCTGCCACGCTTCCTTCCAGACTCCCCGACTTAAAGGCTGGTGCATGTTTTTTGTTTTCAATGCTTGGGAACTTACATAGGGTTATCGACTTTTAGGTTGGCCACATAAGAGCACCAGGAACTGTTAAGAGCACTCACAAATAGGTAAAGGCAGGCTAAAGCCCCATTACTCTCCAGAGACAAGATATGTAAATAGCATCAAAATCATAAAACAGCTGGGAACAGACATGCCTCTAATCCCAGCTCTCAGGAGGCTGAAGCAGGAAGATCTCTGTGAGCTCCAGGCCACAGTGATGTGGGAATCAGTGGGAGAGGAAAAACAGCAGCTTGGGGTCTGAGGTTCATACTATGATTAAGGACGAAAAAGAGAAGAGATGAGGGAGATGAGAGAAAACTTAAAATAGATCAAATTAAAATGTAAACACATGAATGACTGGTGACAATTAAAACGAGCCACTGAGTGGAAATGAGAGCGAGGACAAAACGGAGATGTGCTAAATTCCACAATGTCAAAATCTGAGAAAATAATGCCAGCACAGATTTAAATTGCATAATAGCTTGCAAGCAATGAAAAGACATCTGTCCTCCACAGACAGTTAATGCTGCCTGCCTGGCTGCGAGGAGATGCCTCAGAGTCTAGAGTCCCATGGAAGCAGGGCAAGCGGAGGACCTCTTCTCGGCCTGCGCCAGCCAGGGAGGGAGTAGCTCCAGCTGACCCAGCTCGGCCTGCCACATGCACCTTCCCTGCGGGCCACACTCTCCCTGTGCTGAGGGAGGGGCCAGCACCCTGTTCATATTTGATCACAGTCACAACACTGAAGAGGTCCTGGGCAAGGCCAATGGCTCTACTAACTTGCGTTCTGTCAGTCAAGAAGCCCGAGGTGTGGGCACCCAGGGCAGTTGTTTCTGATGCCCTGGACACTTCTAGAACAGACAGCACAACCAAAGGACTGAGCAGACCTCAAACCCAACCCGCCCCATGCAGCTTCCTCTCCACCCCACAGCTCAAGTGTACACTTCTTCTAAGCTTCCCTACTAAACTGTGAGCAGCTCAGTGGCTCAACTCTGCCTTGGTCCATGTTTCATAGCCCACTGTGAGCATCTGCAAAGGTGAGTGCTCCGAGGGCCAATGCAAGTGAGCCTATCACAAAACCAGTGTCCCTCTGGCCTAGGGACTGGCGCAAGAGAGAGAGCCCCGAGCCACAATCAGTCCTCCCGAGGCTCGGCCTGACTGCCAACACTCCAGACGGTGTCAGTCCTGTAATCCTTGCAGCGCGCTTCATTATAAAATATTCAGCACACACTAGGGTTTCCAAAGTGAAGGAAACACAAAAAGAAATTAAACTAGGAAATCTAGAAATGTCACTAGTAATTGTATATTTCATTTTTAAATTTTATTATGAAATATAATTTATATACATTCACTTGTTGAATGAAAGAATTCTGTGATGAACGCCCACACCCCGCCACTTAGGCTCAGAAAGAGAACATTACCAATACTACTGAACCCCAAGGCGCCGTCCCCTTGGGCGGTTCGTCTCCGTTCCCCTCAGCCCTGTGCAGCCCTGGCTGCCCTGTGTCTGCACTGATGCCAGTTTCCACTCCTCACACCCTCTGCCTGCGCCCTTGTTCCCTGAGAGATTCGGTGCCTGTTTCCAGGGGCAGCTCCTTGAGGAGGACTGTATTTTTGTACCTTAATCTCTTCATCACTGAATACTGCCCATAATAATCTGTCAGTAAATTTTTATCATGCAAATTTTCTTGACCACACTATGCTCCAAAAGGGTAAATTAAAAGAATTTTTAGTTTTAGCTGGGCTCAATGGTGCACAACTATAATCCCAGCACTCTGGGAGGCAGAGGCAGAGGATCACAAGTTGAAGCCCAAGGCTGGGCAACCTAGAGGCTTAGCAAGACCCTGTCTCAAAAAAATATATATTTAAAAGAATGGGGGAGCTGGAGATGTAGTTCACTGCAAAGGCCTAGTTCAATCCCCAGTATCACACACAAAAAATTATTAGTCTTACGAACCTCAGCCCCCCAATCTTCTGTAAGGGTCTGTAATTTCCAGAAATAGAGAAAAGATTCAGGGAGTGCTGGACTGTGGAATTACACAGGAAATGTTGGTGTGACAGAAGGAAAAAGAGCCAGGCCTGAGCCTGCAGGATACAGAGAAGCAATGGCACCTCCCTTTCTCTGCTCCCTTACCTCCAGAGGGACTCAGCTCTACTCTAACCCTGCCGCCAAGTGGTCACTTGGGACCAGAGAAATGTCACCACCACCCTGTCTGCCTGACACCTCCTGGGGCAGCAAGGGGGCCCAAAGGAGGGTTGAGGGTCACACGAACATAC